AAGGAAAAGCAACTTGGATCACCCAATGGATGTCGCAATAATACAACCCAGTGTACCTCTGACCTTCTCATGAAGAAAGCTGGGGTGCTTTGAAGAGAATCCCGACCCCTCTGCCCCAAATGCAGCTGTAACATTTTACAGTGGTTTGCCATTATGGTATTCATTCAGATAATGTTTTCCTACTAGGGATTACAAAGTTTAAACACTTTAAACCTTAAAAATACCTAAAAACAAATTAAAAGGGTGTGTTAAACCCTACATTTTTCTTTACTAATCATTTTGGTGTTTTCCTTTGAATTATTGGGCAAAAGATACTTCAGGATGGAAGATTTATTGCTCAGAGTGAAGTATAGGTTTATTAGTGGAAAGCGAATATAACATTTAAATAAAGTTTGAGTTAGATATATGGCTTACCTCAGTAACCATATATTGTAACCATTTTGATTTCTCTTTTTAAATGCTTTATTTTAAAAAAAATGATTTATTTTGATAAAACTACTGGGACCTGGGTAGGGACTGGAAGTACTAGGCAGGGCAGCAGCAGTCTTACTACATTTTATATAACACGTACCCTTGTGCAGATGCATTTAAATCTTACACTGGTGAAGGAGTGATTTTTATAATGCTACAGTAGAGTTGGATTACTTAGCTCTGTTCTTGTCTGATAAATCAAATAAATGTTTCATATTATTTCCACATAGGGGAAATAAGGAATACTTTTCTTTTTATATTTCTATGTTTAAAATTACCTTTTCTGGTCAAAAAATAACCAACTCTTTGTCAGCTTTCTACTTGTTTTTACATTTCCCTCTTACTCTTGGGCTAAAGATAGTCCTTTTTCACTAGCATCATCACTGCTAGTGAATAATTCACAGCATAATTGTGCAAGCATATTTAATGCTGGTTTAATTTAATATGTAATACATATAGTGACTGACTATGTAGGGTAATACCCATAACAGCTGTAGTTTCCTACTTGGCCAAGAGAATTCATATTTAAGTATTAGATTTCTACTTTGGTGAAATCTTATAACAGAAGATGTTGGAAGGAGGGATTCCCTTTGGTGTTTGGTCTTTTACTTAGGAAATATCAGTTGAGTTTATCTTTGTATTTTGGAGAGAGTCTGAGGTTTGAATTACTTGAGATACATAGAGGGGAACCTAAGTTTTTGCTCCAACATGAATTAAAAACTTGATGAGATCCATGGTTCTTTATTGTAGAGTTGTTGGTATTATAAAGGATTCATTGTTCTCTTATTCAGCTCTGAAATACTGCAACCATATTTTCACCTCTTTTTCCCTCTCCAAGGATAAAGAAAATGATAAATTTTCTGTTGTACATTCAGTTCCTATATTAAATGAGACTAAGTCCAGGCACTGTACAAGGAATTTTTAGGTTTCTACCTATCTTTCATTTAAATGCTAATGTACTTTGCTTATTTGAAGAATCAGTGGTAGGAACAGTAAAGTAATTCCATTGAATACATTTTTTAAATAGCACACATCTGAAATTACAAGTCAATTCAGATTCTAATCCTTTGCTGTACACAAGCAGATAGAAATGCATCTTATATAAGAGAAAAAGCTGTATGCTAATTAAGCATGCTTTTTAAGCCCTTTAAAAATACTCAGCATATAAACTTAGCATTTGAGCTTGCCAGTGTTCTTTTTGTTAATGTGTGTTCTTTCTCAAAATTTCCAGTGTAGGCTGTGAATAATAACTCAAGAAGACCAGTTGCTTTTGAATTCCTTATTTGATTTATTTACTTGACTACACATTACCTAAGTATATTCTAACATTTCAAATATTAACCATAAATGGGTAAAACTAAAACTGGTCTTCTGAAAATGTGTTCTGTGCTTTTAGACTTTTAAGTTCCACAAATAAAAAATACATTCATTTTCATAGAAACTCAATATATCATTTTAAACAAATGTTCTTTTTTTGTGCTAATAATGCTGTAAGAAGGAAAAAGTAAAGGGTTTTTCCTGCTTAAAACTATATAGTTGTTGGATATTTCTAGCTACATTAAAAATAAAGTATGGTTTCAAACTGGATATTGACTCCCCCACCCCCCTATTTCCCCCCAGCACATGTTCTATTTCTTTTGTCTCTAACATTCATCTTATTTACAGGGCATAGTAGATTTCATATTATAAAATGCTGTTAACAGGGACCCACAAAAAAATACATTAGTCAGCAATTTTCAAACTTTTTCATCTTATGGCACATAAACTAATTACTAAAATTCTGTGGCACGCCGAGACCGGTTTGGCTCAGTGGATAGAGCGTCGGCTTGCGGACTGAAGGGTCCCAGGTTCGATTCCGGTCAGGGGCATGTACCTGGGTTGCGGGCACATCCCCAGTGGGGGATGTGCGGGAGGCAGCTGATCGATGTTTCTCTCTCATCGATGTTTCTAACTCTCTATCTCTCTCCCTTCCTCTCTGTAAAAAATCAATAAAATATATTTAAAAAAAAAAAAATTCTGTGGCACAACAAAAATATGTTTTTTGCCAATCTGACAAAAAATAGGTATAATTTTTATTAATTTACACAAAGAATAATTAATAGTGATTACCCTTTTTGTTCCAAAGTGACTTTTTAAAAAGTATTAGGTGCTTATACTTGTATATAAGGATGCCTGGTACCAAGAATTAACCAATCAGATGCAACCTTATTATGCAACGTGGCCAATAAGATGCAACTCCTGTTATATTACCTATGGTTCAAGGCAGGGCATTCACACCAGATAGCTATTGTGTTCACTGTTGTCATTTTTAAATGGGCAATCTAAGGGAAAAGAGGTCAATGGCCCTGATTAAGTAGTCAGATATTGCATATTTTAAAAATTCTTGGTGGCACACTGGTTGAAAATTGCTGGCCTAAATAAATCAGCTTTAATTTTTTTCAGTCCAGAGGTAAACAGTTCTACCGTATTCGGTTTTCTTTTCTGGGTCCAAAGATGCTTGTTCTGCAAGCATATCTATCCTGAGGAAACAGAAGAGAGCTCCAGGGAATCATATGCTGAAATACTTAGGATAATATATGGAATTAGCATTGTATTCTCATATCCTGTTGATGAGCTTTATCTTTGTCTTGAGGCTTAAATTTTTTAGCTGCAGAGCAAGCATAGCTGTGTGGTCATGAGCCCAACAAAATATTACCACAGAAGAAATGCAGAAAAGACCTGGAGTAACATTCAGCAATCTGCCACACGAGGAAATACTGGCCTAATGGGACATAGAAACAACTTACATATTAGAGATTTAACCATATCTGAAATGAATGCACCCAAGTAGGTACATACATCAAGTAAGTAGTGCTTTTTGCCAAGCACTTTGTAATCAGTTTGCAAATATTGACTCAATTCTGGTAATGACCATAAGGTAAGTGCTCTTGTCTCCATTTTATACAGATGAAGAAACAAGCACTTAGTAAATAGTCCAGGATAACACCCCTGATTATTTGTGGAGCTGGGAGTTTTAACCAAGCTTGTAGTTTCAAAGGTCTTTCTCTTAAATTCTATGCTCTCCTGCCCCTATCTGTATGAGGTTACTTCTTGCAGAATTGTTGATTACATCATGAGGTGTGCTGATGTGCACATCCAACAGGTGTTTCTCCTAATACGGATGTAACAATTGGAAGTGCTTGGTCCACTTGTGACAGACACAAGAATAGGGACAAGAAAAAATTAGTTTTAAAAATGACGGTGCAGTAACCGGTTTTGCTCAGTGGATAGAGCGTCGGCCTGCGGACTGAAAGGTCCCAGGTTCAAGCCTGGTCAAGGGCATGTACCTTGGTTGTAGGCACATCCCCAGTGGGGGTTGTGCAGGAGGCAGCTCGTCGATGTTTCTCATCCATGTTTCTGACTCTATCCCTCTCCCTCTGTAAAAACCAATAAAATATATATATATAAAAAATGACGGTGCAGTTAACCTATCAGTAAACACTCAAGAATTGTCAGCGAGGATGTTATAAAACTTGCTGGCACCAAAACTGATAGAGACATGTGACTGGTATTCCAGTAAAGAAATGAAATTGGAGTCCTGAAACATTGTATCTCACAATATAATTTAGAATGCTAGTTTAGAAATATGGTATCTCTAGTACTGTGGTGGTTGGTTCCTCATTTTACAACATGGGAAAAATTTTAAGTATAAAGTACGGCTATATAAATTAGCTTTTGTAATCCTCACAGCAAATGAAGTTGGTAGTACTGTATTAACATCCATTTCACAAAAGGAGAAACCAAGAGTTTAAAGACTTGTTGCCAACGAGTATGTTCCCACCTGCATCTGATTATTTTGACTTTCCGAGGCCAATTTCTTTTTCCACTACACGCCAGGGTTTTTCAGTGGGAGAACCTTGCCCAATTGATATCTCTGCTAAAATATGACTTTAAAACTACTAGCGAGAGAAAAAAATATTCTAGCGAGAGAAAATATGAATCAAGTTGCAGAGAAACAGGAAGATTTGAGTCCCCCATCTTGCCAGTCATCAGTTTGTATTACAGAGGAAAGTGAGAAAAAGACCATCCAGGCCAGTGGTTCTCAACCTTCCTAATGCTGGTGACCATTTAATACAGTTCCTCATGTGGTGACCCCCAATTTCATTGTTACAAATTGAACATAAAGCATAGTGATTAATCACAAAAACTCTGTAATTCTATATGTGTTTTCCGATGATCTTAGGCAACCCCTGTGAAAGGGTCATTTGACCCCCAAAGGGGTCGCGACCCACAGGTTGAGAACCGCTGATCTAGGCTTTCTGAAGTCCCCAGTGTTGGGTAGGTGTGAAGCAAGCCTGCCCAGATTTTGGAACTTCTAGGAGGCTGTCCCACCGCTCCGTGGCGTGGAGCCAACACTGCGCTGCTCCGCCCCGCACGCGCTGTACGGGCCAATCAGAGCCAAGGGGGCGTTTTCAGCCCCCGGCGTCCTCTAGCTGGGAGACAGGGCGCCCTACGACCCGGAAGTGGTTCTTCCGGAGGAGGCGGGGCCGAGAGGGTGGAGCTTGTGACGCTTAGCCCGGGACTCTGGCTCCTCTTTCCTCACCCGCCTGGCCTCGGCTCCTGCGGGAAAAGTGTGGCTCAGTCTGAGGGGAACCGCACCAATGGCTTCCGTGCTGTCCTACGAAAGCTTGGTCCACGCTGTGGCCGGAGCCGTGGTGAGGCGGGGTTTTCACGCCCAGGCCGCTGCGGGTCTTGGGTTTCTCTGGGGTCACGGCCGGGATGTGTCTGGGGGATGGGGATGAGGGAGATCGTGTGGGTACGGGTCTGGGCTCTCCTGTCCTGACGGTGGGACGGAAAGGGAGGGGCCCGAGGCGAAAGTTGCGGGGAGAATTTGGCGTGAGGGCTGGCACTCGCCCTCCGGCCCTGGCTACCGCTCCGGCTTCTTGAGAGACCAGCTGGGATGTAGACAGGTGGTCCCACATACCCTCAGGGGTCGGGCAGAAGATCAGTGCTGCTTCCTTTGCCTTCTGAAATGTAATGGTCACCCCAGCCAACCCAACACACCAGCTTCTCACATGGGCCGAGGGACACCTAGATGTGATGCTGTGTTGCCGAATCACATGCTTAACTACACCTATTGCCACACACTGAACTGCGGGCATGTGGAAGTGCCTACCGAATAGGATATCTCTGGCCAATATTATTGGTAGAAGATACACTTTTTTAAAAATCCGGGTCAGAATTGCTGTCCGTCGTACGTGTGTTTACCGTGAGGCATGTGCTGGGTTCTTGGGCTTCTGGTGTCTCAGTTCCATTTGACACCCCTCCCCCTTTTCCTTGAAACTTTCCATTCTTGACTTGGGTAAGTTCCTCTTCGGGTTCTCATCTTCTTTGTCTGCCGCCCTTTCTGCTCTCTTTCTCTAACTGTCAACACACACCTGCAGCTGTGGGAATTGGTGGGACTTAAGAGGAGTATCACTGATCGCTCTCCCTAGAGCCCCTCGAAACTCACGGAGAGCTCATGTACTGTGCAGTCTAATCAGGGCTGAACCCCAACTCCATTACTTGTTAGATGGGTGGCCCGTAAACCTCACTTTCTCAATCTGTAAAGTGGGGGTATTGAAACTTCCCTCACAGGGTGGTTATGAGAATTAGATGATACAGTAGTTCATGGCAGTGCGGGACTCAAGAATCTCGGTTCCTTCCTTAAATGAGAAGAGCCTTTCGCCAGAGTAAAGAGGCTGAGTGGGAAGTTTGCTTGACTTGCTCTCGGGTGGGCGTGGGGCCTGGTTCTTGGAGTGGAGGGAACAAAGGCAATAGGTTTCAGGGGATCACATTGTGTGAGGCTTTAACTCCGAGTGGGAAAGGGAGCTAGCTAGCAATTGCAGCAACTTGCTGATTTACATTTTATTTTATTTTTTAAAATATATTTTTTATTAATTTTAGAGAGGAAGGGAGAGGGAGAGATAGAAACATCAATGAGAGAATCATTGATCAGCTGCCTCCCACACACCCTCCTGGGGGATTGAGGTTGCAGCTCAGGCATGTGCCCTTGGCTGGAATTGAACCTGGGACCCTTCAGTCTGCAGGCTGATGCTTTATCCGCTGAACCAAACTGGCTGCGGCTGCTTTACATTGTAAACTTGATCACCCTTGACTGCTCTCTCTGTTCAGAGTGAACTAACTATAAGGGAGCAAAGGTGGAAGCAAGGAAACTGTCAGGGAGCTATTACATCATCTCAGGCAAGAGATGATGATGGCTTGGACCAGGATGGTATGGAGGTGGTGAAAAGTGATCGTTAAACTGGAATATATAAGGTTGAGCCACCAGGGTTTGATGGTGGATTGGATATGGGGTGTAACAGAATGAGGGTTGGTTGACTCCCAATGGTTTTTGGCTTCAGCAACTGGAAGGATGATGTTCCCGTATATTGAGCTGGTGAAGACTGTGACGGAACAGGTTTTGGGGGATATAAGTTTGGTATTGGTTTTGGACTAGTTAATTTGAAATGCCTAAGTGTAGTCGTGAGACTAGATGAGTTCACCAAGAAAATGAGTGTGGCCCTAACCGGTTTGGCTCGGTGGATAGAACATCAGCCTGCGGACTGAAGGGTCCCAGGTTCAATTCCAGTCAAGGGCATGTACCTTGGTTGCGGGAACATCCCCAGCAGGGAGTGTGCAGGAGGCAGCTGAATCGATGTTTCTCTTATCGACGTGTCTAACTCTCTATCCCTCTCCCTTTCCCTTTCCCTCTGTAAAAAAATCAATAAAATATGTTTTTAAAGAATGAGTATGAACTGAGAGAAAAGTCTCTCAGACCAAGCTTTGGAGCACCAACATTAAGAGGTTAAGAAAGTGAGATAGCACTAGCAAAGGAGACTGTGGAGAGGCCAGTAGGGGTAGGAGGAAAACTTAAGAGACTGTGATGTTTTGAATGTCACGTGGAGATGGGCATAGACCTACTGGGTCAGATGCTATGGATGGGTCAAATAAGAGGATTTTAGCCGAAACCGGTTTGGCTCAGTGGATAGAGCGTCGGCCTGCGGACTGAGGGGTCCCGGGTTCGATTCCGGTCAAGGGCATGTACCTGGGTTGCGGGCATATCCCCAGTGGGAGATGTGCAGGAGGCAGCTGATCGATGTTTCTCTCTCATCGATGTTTCTAACTCTCTATCTCTCTCCCTTCCTCTCTGTAAAAAATCAATAAAATATATAAAAAAAAAAAAGAGAAAAAAAAAAAAGAGGATTTTAGTAACCATTGGACTTTGATGTTTTACCAACATGAAAGTCCAATGGTTACTTGAGAAGCGTTTTTTTGTTTTTGGGTGGTTTTTTTTTAGTGTTTTGATGGCATGGCAGAGTGAATAATTGGAGTACATCCAACATAGAATGGGAAATATTTGTTGTGGCCATAGTTTTCTGACCCTTGCTATAGAGAGTGACTGGAGGAAGAGATGATATATTTCTATTTAACCTACAAAGACATATCACTTTCCCCCTCTTTTTATTGCCTATTTTTCTCTTTTTAAAAGTTCTTGAAATTATGCACCCCAAATTGGCTATGGCCTTTCTTTCGCCCATAAACTATGTTAGAGTTTTCAATAGAAAGATTTGTAAGAATACTTTTTTTCTCTAGCTTTCCTTGGGGGCAGTACTATTCCTAGCACATATCTGAGTGAGAATTTGCATTGTATTTTGTTATTCATTTGTGGTTCTCAACTCTTTGCAAACCTCTGTATTAAGTAAGGTTAAGCCACACAACATGGACCCTATTTTCTTCTGGTTGCTTCCAAAGGAAAAAGTTTCATCACAAAAATGTCACAACATTGCTTTTATTATTTTTTAAAAATATTTTTTTTATTGATTTCAGAGAGGGAAAGAGAGATAGAAACATCAATGAGAGAAAATCATTGATCGGCTGCCTCCTGCACACCCCATACTGGGGATCAAACCCACAGCCCAGGCAGGTGCCCTGACCGGAAATCAAACCGGTGATCTTTTGGTGCACCGGCCAGGATACACTGGACTTTTTACCATATACACAAAGTACCTGCCTTTAGAAATAGAAACCAAGTAGATTTGGTTTGTTGATTCACTGTACAAGGCCTTCTGGATATAAAGGTCAGTGTAAGAGTCCTTGTCCTCAAGAAGCTCTTAAGTACAAAGTGGAAGAGTGGACAAGGCCCCTGGTGGTACCAAGGAAGAAGAGGTGCTGCACCTGTGAAGGTGACAGGAAATCCTCATGGTTGGCATATATAGACCAGGTCTTGAAGGAAGAATAGGAATTTGCTAGGCAAAGTGAAATAGGAAGGCAATACGAGACTTTTAGACAGGACAAAAAAGCATGTTCAAAGGCCCCAATATATACATCAGCATTCAGGGAACTTCAAGCTAGTTCTTTTTTTTTTTTTTTAAATATATATTTTATTGATTTTTTACAGAGAGGAAGGGAGGGGGATAGAGAGTTAGAAACATCAATGAGAGAGAAACATCGATCAGCTACTTCTCGCACACCCCTCACTGGGGATGTGCCTGCAACCAAGGTACATGCCCTTGACCGGAATCGAACCTGGGACCCTTGAGTCTGCAGGCCAATGCTCTATCCACTGAGCCAAACCGGCTAGGGCTCAAGCTAGTTCTAACATAGCTGGTGTAAAAGATGGGAGAGAGTAGAAGGATATGAAGTCTAAGAGTCTCATATACTATGCAAAGATATTTGGGTTAAAGTTTATTAGAAACTTTGTTAAAAAGTGGTTGTATCTTCCTCATTCTCTGTGTTTATATTTATATACAAATAAGTATTTACAAATAGGTTTTTTTGTTTATATAACTGGTATGGATTCTGGAGTTTTCTTTGATGTGTTTGTTTCAGAATATATAGCATTTCTCCATGTATATCAGAGTTCTCTGGTTACAAGCTGGAGAAACAGAGTTTGGGTAATTTAACAAAACGGAAGTCTATTGGCAGGTTCTTTGGGAGCTCTCAGGTTCAGTGGGGAGGCTGAAGACTTGAAATAGGAAGGAACCAACAGACTCCCAAGAGATTTTTGAAGCAGTCGCTACAGAATGTCTGTTGGGCACCACCACTGGAAACAGTGGATTCTATCTCTATTTCTTCTGCCCCTCCACCCCCTCTAGCCCCTATTAGTCATGCTCAAGGCCATGTGCTCACCCCTTGACTGTAACAGGTAGAGGGTGGGCACCTGGATTTACCATCCTACCAAGATTGTATGCAGTGGGAAGAAGTAAAGGAAATCAGCCCACCCTTAGGAAAGGAGAATGGTGCTATATGGCCCCAAACATCAGATATGTACTATATCAGTGATGGCGAACCTATGACACGTGTGTCAGAGGTGACATGCGAACTCATTTTTTTGGTTGATTTTTCTTTGTTAAATGGCATTTAAATATATAACATAAATATCAAAAATATAAATCTTTGTTTTACTATGGTTGCAAATATCAAAAAATTTCTATATGTGACACGGCACCAGAGTTAAGTTAGGGTTTTTCAAAATGCTGACACGCCGAGCTCAAAAGGTTCACCATCACTGTACTATATCCTGTCATTAAAAAGACTTCAGAAACCAATCGTAAAGGTTTTATGCAGTCTTTTTTTTTTTTTTAGCTTTTATTTTTTTATTGAATGCATTATGTTTACATTGGTTAATAATATTATATAGGTTTCAAGTGTACAATTGTATAATACATCATCT